AAAAAAAATTGAAATGGGGCAGACACTATCTAATAATAATAATAATATAGGTGAGATTCGCCTCTCACAGTTCCCCCCTTCTTAATTTCGAGTACCACAAAGATGTGGTCTTAGCAGATGCTACAGAAATCCGCATCACTTAAATGTCGGATTCTACTAAGTGTGGTGTAGGTGGTGTGGTATAGTTGCTCTACACCACCATAATGAAAGAAAGCACAATAAATTCGAAGGGCAGCGATGCGATAATAGCGGGTGGCAATACTTCTAATAGTCTGTTGCCTCGGTATGGGGACTTGGTTAAGGTATGAGCCTAGATAATAGGCATAAACAAGACTTTCTATTCTATCACCCTCACATACCACGTTGAGAAGGTGATAAAATATCACAGCCATTTTTGTATCAAGATTAGTCTTTTCCGGCGCAGAACAGGGCATTGGGTCCACTTCAAGAGGGTCTAAGCTGTATTGGTCCCATTGAATTTGCTGAATGGAAATCATATTACTTATTTTTAAAAGAAAAGAGAAATATATGTGTATGTTTGTTTTTTTTTTTTTTGTCTGTTTTTTTTTTTTTTTTTTTTTTTTTTAAAAAAATGTCTTCTTTTCTTTCTGTGTTTTTTTTGTATGTATCTTTTTCTTTTCTCTTCTTTTTTTTTTTTTGAATGCCTTCTTTTTTTTTTGTCTGTTTTCGCAGTATTTATATTTTTTGTTTATGGTAGGGTTTGAGCAATGTTTTATTAAGGGTACTGCAAGAACTTCCCCACTTAATTCTCTTAATTTGTAGGCACCTTTTGTAAGTTTAGCATGAACATAGTATGGCCCTTTCCAATTGGGCATTAGCTTATGACTACGAGTGCCCAATTTCCTGGCTTCGAGAATGAACACTTTGTCGCCAATATTGAAGTCATCTGTGGCTTTGACTTGTTGATCATGATGTGCCTTTTGCTTTTGTTGCTCCTTATCGATTTGGCATAATGCATTTTCATGGGCTTGTGGGAGATTGTTGTCGATCTCATACAGCCTTTGGATAATCGTTCTGTTTAACAAATTATTAGACGTACTAGGATGCAGAGGTAATTGGGCTTCCCTCCATATACCAAGTAAAAGAACGTTTCATGGGTTGTGGCTTGCTTTGCCGTACGGTAAGCAAATAAAATTAGCGATATTATAAGGTCCCAGTCTGTCACGTTCGTCACTAATCTAGCAATGGCCTTACATAACGTTTGGTTAAAACATTTAACTAGCCTATTTGTTTGTGAGTGATACGGAGAAGAATTATGATGTTCAGTATTCATGACCGCGAGAAGCTTATCTACCACGTGGTTGTTGAAATAGGATCCTTGGTCGGATAGTATAATGCTGGGGCAACCATACCAGTATACTATCTCTTTGTAGATGAACTTAGCCACCTCTTTAGCATTAGCCCTAGGAATTGCACGCACCTCGGGCCATTTAGTCATATAGTCGGTCATGACTACTATATATTTATTAGATCAAGGCATTATAGATAGTGGTCCGACAATATCTATACCTATTCTATAGAATGGGGCTTTGACTAGTATGGAGCATAGCAGTCCCTTGGATCTCTTTTTTCCATGCAATTGACAGTTCTTACATGTTTTGACATACTCGTGTATGTTATGATACATCTGAGGCCAGTAATAGAAGCTTCGAATTTTATTGAACATGATATCTTTCCCGAAGTGGGCTCCTGTTAGATAGTCGTGTGCTAGACTTAATATAAGCTTCAATTCTCCTTCTTGTAGAACTTTTTGTAGCTTCCCACCAGGTTTTCTATTTTTCTTAAACAAACTTCTATTCTTAGTTTGGAAGAATCGGCTTTGCTTTTCCAATTGTCTGCGCTGTTGATTTCCGTAGTGTGGTGGGTACTGTCGATATCGAAAATATGTGGTTAGTGCCACGTATAATTGTGGATCCATTTGTTAAATGTCTCGTTAATTAAGTTTTTTGGCTTTGATTTGTGCCAGGATACCGACGACCTGGTCTGAATTGAGCTTAATGTTGGATTTAAGTTCTTTCCATGTATCTTCTGGGTAAGTGGTATCTTTCTTTTGTCTATTTGTTTTGCTCTGAAGATTTGGCTGCTATTTCTGATAGATGTGATGCCACTTTTCCTAATCTAATTTCGTTTTTAATGTTCTACTTCGATTCTTTTCAGCTACTACTCAATTCTTTTGAGCCGTCCAAGCATTTTCTAGTGTCAATTCTTCGTAGATTTTATTTTGATAACAATGACCAATCTGTATGGGTCTTTCTATCTATATTTGGAGTTTTCTTTCTCTTTCTACTGGGTTCCGTAATCCCCAATATATCCAAATTTGCTTATTTATTAACCTGTTTAGTTTCGATTTGTTCAGTGTAATACTGTCCCTTTTTCTAACTTTCTAGCCCTAGTAATACTTCCTCACGTTATTGTTAGTATACTTTGTTTGATAGTTTCTATCTCGCTATCACTACTCTTCCTGTAATAATTTTGTATCTTCCTTCCAATATTGTTCTTCGATACTTGGCGCTATCTTTTGTTCTGGCCCTTGAATAATAATGCTATGATATTTTTCTGTCTTTTTGTACATATAAGATTTTATGTCTTCTGTTATTTGAATAGGGCCCCAACTCACTCTACTCCTTCCTGACCAACCTTTCTCTATTGTCAGGTCTGATGTTCGGGAGTTTTTTTTTTTTTTTTTTTTTTTGCTTGATATATAAGTATAGGGTACTAATCTAATATGGTTTTTGCTTTTGAGGGGTTCATGATTTTAAGTCAAAAAGGCCTATGTCCATTATGTGATATAAGTTATACATTTAATGTTTTCCGATGAATGAAAGTAGGTACATTGTTCTCTTCCATTCTTTACATGCTATCATAGGCTTCCCAGTCAATAAATTCGTCAAAGGTTTGGGGCCATTCTTCAAAATTACTACTAGCCTCCATAAATCCAAATAATGAGTTGTCATCCTCGATTTCACTCCAAATTTGGTTGGAGCCAGAATAAATGATATTATTCTATTTCTCATCATTATTCTCGAATTCTAGCCTCTTGCTATTTCTCCCCATAGAGGTATGTCAATTTGATAGGCTTCGTTTAACGGCATGGGTTGTGGGTTACTTTCAAGATTACTATGGCTTACAGGCTTGTATTGGTAACCATTTTGAGTAGACTACGTAATTTCTATTTTGGCTTCTATAGCCAATTCAATTAAGAGATCCTAAAGATAACTTTCATGCTCTATTTCATTCGTGGTGAGTTCTTTGTCCAGTTCACATTCCCAAATTTCATATTCATCAGTGCTATAATCTTCCCATTCACTTTCTTCTGTGTTAAGGTCCCTAAGGATGGTTTCCGTCTCTTCATCAATTTCTTCGGGGAAGTATTCTTGGGCAATTGCCCTGAAAACTTCCACCTCTTCAAATTCAGCGGATTTGGTTTCTTTAGGTAGTAATTTACCTTGGTGATTTTCTTCAACATTTCTCATATTTGCTACTTTTTGATAATGGCTAACAGTTTCGCAGTTGCCATTTTCTTGTCTAGATATGTCTGTAACCATGCGTGATAATGCATAAGCATTATTATAGACCCTATCTGATCTGTGTACGATGGTGAAGTTATAGAGTTGAAGGCATAGAATCTATCTAGCTTTTCTCCTTTTCAGGGTGGTATTGTGAAGCCATCTTAATGCTGCATGGTCCGTAACAACAATAAATAGTTTATACTCTAAGTAATGATGGAAATATTCCACTATCCAAACCACAGCATTACATTCTAGCTCCATGGCGGCATAATTTCTTTCTGGGCATATAAGACTTTTGCTTGTATAAGCAATGGCATACTCCTTCTTGTTTTCGTCCTTTTGGGCTAATACTGCCCCTAATACAATACCAGACGCATCAGTATAAAGATAAAATGTTTTTTCAAAGTTAGGATATTTTAGGATCAGGCAGTAATGAGGTGGGTCTTCAATGTTTCAAAGGCCTATTGCTGTGCTGTTTTCCATTGATAAGGTACATCCTTCTCCAATAATTGATGCAAAGGTTTTGCAATTGTAGCAAAATTTCTGATAAAGCAGCGATAATAAGAGGCTAAGCCTATAAAGCCTCTTAATTGCCTTAAGTTAACCAGGATATGAAAATTCTTGACTTGGGCTACTTTATCTTTGTCTGGGGTGATGCCAGCTTTTTCTACCTCATGCCCTAAGAATTTTATGCTATTTTTGAATAGCTCACATTTCTCAAGGTTTAATTTTAACCCAGCTACAGCTAAGGTTGCTAGGATGGTATTAAGATGGTTTAAATGGTCTTGGAAGGTTTTTGAATAGATGATTATATCATCTAGATACACTTCCACTTAATACACTATGTAGTCGCATAAGGTATGATTCATAGCTCTTTGAAAGGTGGCCAAAGCATTGCATAGGCCAAAGAGCATCACGTTAAAGGCGTAAGTGCCCTTTTTCATTATAAAGGTTGTTTTTTCATGATCTTTATTCTTCATCATTATCTGCCAGTATCCGCTGGCTAGGTCAAGAGAAGAAAACCACTCCGCCTTCCCAAATGTCTCTAAAAGCTTGTCTATTCATGGCAATGGATAGACATCTTTCTTGGTTATAGCATTTAACTTTCTATAGTCAATGCATAACCTTAGTTTTCTATTTTTTTTTGGCACAATAACCACAGGTGAAGCCCATGGGCTTTTTACTTCTTCTATTAATTTATTTTCTAACAGTTTTTTGATTTCCTGGTTCAGAAAGTCCTGCTTATCTGGGGCAATCCGATAGGCTGATTGCCTAACAGGTCTTTTGTTGCCGGTGTTAATTTCATGCTGAATTTCGTGGTACTGGCCCAATTGGTGTAACCTGGTGATAAAAAGCTCTTGAAACCCTTTTAGGGCTTGTGCTGTGTCTTCTTTCTGTTTTTCATTTAATATTTCTGATGATACTAACCCTTCAATGATTTCCTTGTGGGTTAGTTCAGGCTGGTCACTTCTTTCCGCCGTTGGAAGTTCCTTCAGGTCTGTTAAGTATATTGCGGGGTTCTTAATACCTTCTAGGAGGTTACAATTTGTTTCTTCTATTTCGGCTTCATCCGTATAATAACTTTCCACCTCTTCTAGGTCATTTTCTTCTTCATACAGGTTGAAGAAGTCATCACCTTCGTTATCATTGTCAGGAGGAGATTCTATTTTCTCTTCTTTTGCTTGGTAGATTGGGACTTCCATCTGCTTCTCCAAATACTATAGGGACAGTTTTTGTGTGTCAAAATATAATCGGGCGCGCACCTTTTGGAACCAATCCATTCCAAGGAGCATCATTTCATCTGGGCTTTCTATTGCTTGAAAATCAGTAGGTATTAAAACAGTTTGTACTGCTAGTTTTACTCTTAGCAATCTTTCCAAAGCACGCTCTCGAGCCCCATTGGCGGTAATGACTATGGTATTAGAAAGCTCTGTTATTGTTAGGTTAAATTTTCTAGCTAATTTCATCGACATTATACTGACTGTGGCTCCAGAGTTCAAAACTGCTAATATTGGGTTATTATTGACCCGAACATAGCATTTAGCCACTATAGTTTTTTGGTTAAGTATATTCTCAGCAAAATTAGTGGTTTCTACCACATTAATAACTGGGCAGTGTAAGGCTTTGGCTAGATTATGTCTTTGTTTTGGGATTTGCAAGAGTTGGGCGTATGTCGCATTGATACGTTGCTCCAATAAGTCCTTGGCAATATCATATGGAGGTGCAGAATCAACCACTGAAGGCCTATGTTTTCGTTTAACTCTAGTATTGGTTTGTAATTGGGGCTGAACTGGAATAATTTCTTCCATAGCAGTAGGTTGTGAATGTTGTTGGATCAAGGTAGGCTCAATATTAACCTTTTTCCTTAATCGATCATCCCATTGACTTTCGTGTTCTGCTCGTTGCTTAATAACATAGGCTTCGTCTTCAGGGTTATTGCTATAAATGTCATATAGATTAATATTTCTGGTACGTAAAGTGGAGCTGTGAGAGTCCCTGGGTGGTCATTAAGAGTTTGGGTGTCTCCCAAAATGACAGTTCCGGGCAATATGACCTCTTCCTCTGCAATTATAACATTCCACACCCTTACTTCTTATCTGGCAGGGTTGATATCGGTTTTGCCTAAATGGAGTTAATTGAGGGCTTACCTCAGCTTGGGCAGCAAGGTTGGTGGTTAACTTTTCGTAATTAATAGCCATTTGTTGTAATTTTTTTGTCAGATCATCAATAAGTTTCTCATTAGATTTATTATTTTTCTTTGTTTCATAGTAATTGCCGGCTTCAATTTTTCTTGCCTTGGCAATAGCTTCGTCTAAGGTGTCAAAGTCTTCTGCCGACATTAAGGCAGCCGTCCTGCTGTGGAGGCCCCCCATAAATATTCTGATGACATAAGTGGCAGATATTTCTTTGCCTGGATCGACTCTTTTCAAGAGACTTTTGAATTTGAAGATGTATCAATCTACTTTTTCGTTTTCGCTTTGGGTAAGTAAGGTCAGTTCTAATTGCCAACGATGTTTTTGTTCCATAGTGGCGAAATATTTAGTGAATGCTGGGACAAAACTGTCTTCTGGGTTAGCTTCTTCTTCCCAGAACAATAAATTGTCCTTATTATCATTATACCAGCTGGCTGCGATTCTAGCTAAATGTCCTGATGCTATTTTAATTTTTCTTGCCTGGGACCAATTATTTGCATCTGCGGCCCTTTCAAAGGCTTCGATCCATTCAACTTGGTCTTCATCCTCTTCGCCTTTGAAAGTCTTCACATGTACCCAATTATTTTCTCTGGGGTTGGGTGGAACGTTATGAATGGCAACATCCCTAAAAGCTTGAGCTATTTCTCTTAAAATAGCATGAGCAGATTCATGTTTTGGTTTTGATAAGCTAGCAGGTGCTCAGGTTCTCCATCTATCGTCCTGTTATCCTCAAAGTAGTCCAAATTTGACAATTTTTTTTTTTGATAGTAAGTAAATTTGTGTCAAATATGGTGATTGTGTTCTGAAGTAAGTATCTCATAGTCACCACCAACTAAGAAGGACTAAATTAATCTGGGATTGGATAAATCGGCTAATATGAGTCTTAAACTACACTAACTAATCTAAACACACACTAAACCAACTAATTTAACTAAATCAACAATAATCTAACTAGTTGATGAGATCGAAACTCCAAGGTGGTAGCTTCGAATAGAGGTGTGGAGAAACTTGGTCTGAGTTCTTAGAGCTTGACCCTATGTTGATATATTTGGAAAGTATATTAAAGTCTTCTTATTGCTTTAGGTTTAATTTATCCTATTGTCTTTCAGTTATTCAACACTATACTAATTCTCTAATTCTTCAACTCTTCTATTTCGGAAGTTTTGCTAATTTTGATCACATGTTATGTAATCACGATATGTCGATCGGTAATTTAATATTCGGCTTAGATCAATAATCAATTCTACGTCATAGGTAGAATTATTGACAGAGATCAGATTTCAATATATTGATGTGTCATGGGTTTAGTACATTACGGGGATTTGATGATCAGAGCAATTAATATGTAATAATAAAGTCACGAGCTAGTACTTCTATTATTAGCTGATTTTTGGTAACAATAGGTCTTAGATCTGATTCGGGTATTTTTAGCTATATAAAGTGGATAATGGGTATTATTCTTTTATCAACTCTTTCTATGCACTATTTGTTTATAACAATTCGGGTTTTTTTATAAGTATTGGGGCTTAGACTATGTATTATACTGGATTTATCTTAGAAATGTGAAATTCGAAACTGGCGGATGAAAGGTAACAATTTTTACTAAATCACTACTTGACTTCTTATTACTTCAAAAGTTTCTCAATAACTTCAACTCAATAATGAGTTCTTTTTCTTTTACTTTTCACACAAATTGGACTGAGTTTATTTTAATTGCGAAAATTCGCTTTAAATACTTTTTTAAATTACTACGTCTTGGGTGGTCTGACGCAGTTTTCTACGCTAAAATGACATAATTCGGTACCAAAGGCAAGGTGTGGTACTGGGAAGTACTAATTTTTATATTCAAGAATGTAATGTACTATTAAGTTGGTACGAAATGAGCTAATAGTACCAAAATGCCGTAATGGCCTAATTAAAAAGGACACTTGATCCTTGGATCAAGTTTAGGATAACATGGGTTCTTCCATATAGGGAAGAGACCCGGGTAAGATAAGATAAAAAGAAAACATATAATAATGTAATATAAAAAAAAATGAAATGGGGCGGACACTATCTAATAATAATAATAATATAGGTGAGATTCGCCTCTCACACCGGACCGGACTTTTAACATCCCTATATTGGAGCCTACAACACCCGGAGGGAGTTAAAAGCACTCAGTAGGAGTTTAAAGCTCCAGGCTGAATTTACGAATATATAAGGATGTGGTTTCAGTCTATGAAAGAAATAACAGTTGTTAAATAATTCTTGTTAATATTTAGTATTATTGTATAATCCGATGTATTGATTTATACCAATAAAGAGAAACCGTATAACCCGTAATTATGTGTGTTAGTTTAT